CCTTTATGATCTAACCACTCAATTCTTATGTAGTGCTACAGGCTGAAAGTTTGTGTTCCCCCTAAATCCACATGTTGAAACCTAAGCCCCAATGTCATGGTATTTGGAGGAAAGGCCATTGGGAGGCGATTAGGTCATGATGGCAGAGCCCTCAGGAATGGCATTAGTGCCCTTATAAGAGACTCCCCCCAGAGGTCCTGTGTCCCTTCGGCCACACGAAGACACAAAGAAAAGACGGCCAGCTCTGAAACGGGAAGCAGGTCCTCACCAGACACCAGATCTGCTGGCACACTGACCCTGGACTTCCAGCCTCCAGAACTGTGAGAAAAGAATTTCTGCTGTTTGTAAGCCACCTAGTCTATGGTATTTTGCTATAGTGGCCCAAACAGGTTAAGACATGTATCAGAACAAAATTCCAATCATTGAAGCACACATTCTTTTCAACAATGGCAGTTCATAACCTGGGTGAGTTCTTCAGGATCAAGTGGGAAACTTCTCAAAATATACACGCGAGGGCTCCGACCTTGATTTTTCTGACACAGTTAAGTCTGAAATGGAGTCCTGGGAGGCAGGTTTTGGAAAAGATTTTTATTCTAAGTCTCCACTAACATTAAATAAGTTTATATTTACATTATAAATTATTATAATTATAGCCACCAATCAATCAACTAATTAACTTGTATGGAGACAGAGACCTTATTCTGAGATTTAACTTTTCTTTGTGAACATTCTCTTCTAATTGTTTACCCATTTTTATGAGAAGACTCTACTAACAAAGCATAGGTGAGTCTCCGCACTAGAATCAGAGATCTGAGTTCTTGCTCATGTATTTTTACTGCAAAACTTGTGAGCTTTATATACACTTAAATACTTTAAATGCCTCTTAAAAATGATATATGCACACAAATCAAATACAGGTGACTAATTATTAGTATTAGAACCAAGAAGATTGTCAAGTGAAAGCAAATATAATTGTATGGTGCAGCAAGCTATTAAAATATATTTCATAAATAGGAAGCAAAAGAAAATGCAAACACAACATTAGGCCACAACTATCAGAATCTTGAGAGTTTCTCTAATCAAGAAAATTCTGTTCCGGTACAAAGTTACACAAATATATCTACCTCAGTTTTGACGTTGTTTTTACTCAACATAGATTTTCACTGGAGTTTTTTTTTAAGTTCTGGAAATATTTTTAACGTATTTTAAGACTGCCTCAAATATTTCCCTTCCTAATCTTACTCCCTTCTCTTTTATGTCTGAGATGACGGGCTGTACGTTCAGATGGTCTCATTACCGTGCCAGTGATGGGCCTCCGCCATTTCCTGCACGGCCTGCAATCGGGCGGCTCTGTCATCTGACTTACTCTTCTTGAGAAGCAGCCACATGGCACACTCATGATCCTCTATGTCAACTGTACTGAAAGTGTCTGCAAAAAGGAAAAAAAAGGCAATACAATGTGA